ACAAAACAAAACAAACAAACAAACAAAAAACCCGAAAAAACAAAACAAAAAACTGAAATAATTGTCCTCATTTAAAAGTCAAGAATTTCCTTGAAACTGCTGAGTTTCTACTGTGTCTTGAAGACTCAAAGATCGACAACGCTAAGCCTACATCCCTACATAGCAACACTAGATGGATTGGACTCATGGCCACTTCCTTTGGAAAGGCCCTACTGTGGTGACCACCACGTGGCCAATCTGTTTGAGATTTATGCCTGTTTTCCTGGTATGATTCTTAATTTCCACTACGGCAAGTATCTAGTTTGAAAGATAAGTTATATAGTTGGTGGGCTCCAGTTAATTGTAGTCCACAGAACACTTTTTTAATCTTATAATTATCATACTACACACCTTCTCTGCCTCAGCTTGCAAGCCTTTCATTATGCTATTCCTTTTCGAGAGTCCCTTGTGTAGTTCACTAATTCATCAATGATGGACAAAGGTTTCATTGCATTTCGACCTCTAGTTTTGTTTATTTTCTGTGTACAGTCTGGCCTTAACTATTCTTTACAATGTCATTTTTTTTTTTTTTTGCCTTGTGGATCTTCATTGTAGGAGACATTATGCAATCACATCATCTTCAAAACTATGTGCATACTGTCATATTTATCTTTCAACCTGGATTAATAATTGCTTTTTTAGTGATAGATTTTTAATTTTTCCTCATTGAGTTATCGGTACATTTTAGGTGTATGGTACAGTTACATTTATTATTGGGATCTTGTACCTTTACATGACAGGTCTTGGTTCTCATTTGTTCCTCTTGTCCCTGCTCTCCCAGCACCCTCTCCTCCCCTCCCCATTTACAGATATTTTATTTCCATTTTTTCATGATAGATTTTTTTAAAAAGTAATTTTATTGGTACATTTTAGGTATACAATATAAAGACATTCATCACTGGAAATTCTCACCTTTACATACTCTATCTTGATTCTTATTTTCCCCCATTCCCTGCCCTCCCTTTCAACCTCTCTACCCCTCCCTATTTGCAAAGACTGTTTCACTTTTCAAAATTTTTTCATATTGATTCCATTCCCCTCTTCCTTAATTTCGTATAATAACTTCTTAGTGCTAGAGCTGATTGTTTATCAACCACATACCAACACAGACACAAAAACTAGCTAAGTTAATTTTCACCCCCTAATTAGTGCTTAGTATATTCTGGGATCTGAGGTAGTTGTTGAACATTTGGAGATGAAAGACATTGAAGGCCATTCATTCTGTCAAGAATCATTAGGTCTCTTTACAGAATAGTCTTGGATTTTCTTTTGTTTTATGTCTCTCTATATCTTCTCATACTATGTTTCTCATGAAGGCAATGCCAAATGTTGTGTACATGTGTGTGTGTGTGTGTGTGTGTGTGTGTGTGTGTGTGTGCATATGTGTTTGGGGAGAGGGTCAGATTTGAGGAAAGACATTCTACAGCAATACTGATATTTTTATATGCATAGAAACAGGGAGATATTAAAGGACTGGGCTACTTGATACTTCAGATAAGACCTCACAGGTGACTGATTCCTGGGAGATGAACCGGGAGCTGTGGTTACAGCATCCTTAATTTAGTTTGGCAGTAGAAAATGTGATTTCATCAATTTGACCAGTGTCAGCTATCTCTCTTCAAAGGTGGCCAGGATTCCTACAGAGCCTAAACTGTAATACAATATCTCTAATTTCATTCAGTTCCTACTACCGATGTATTCTTTTTCTTTCTTACAATAGAATGTTACTGAAAGGACATTAGCATATAAAATGAAAGTTCTACCTATTGTAGCCTATTGTAGCCACAAAGAAAAACCATGATTTTCTCCAGTCTCTCCCATTGATAGCCCTGACTCTTATGAAGCTGTCTTGGGAATCTTTCCGACCTACTAACCAGGAATTCCTTCCTGGTTGAAGGTGGTTAGGTTCAGACATCCTCATTCAAATTTCCCACAGATGACTCAACATACACTATTTTGAATGAGATACTGGGTAATCCATTTTATTGAGAATCATTTTTTAAAAATTTCCTAGGTGGATAATAATGATACTATTTTGTATTTGGTAGGTGGCTGTTGATCCAAGAAAAGTGACTACTTGACATAGAGGAAATGACATCAGTGTGTTGACTTATAAATATGGTTTAATATAATTTGTTTGTAAGAACCCTGAATTCTGGTTTGTTTTGTTTTTTGGTACTGGGGATCAAACTTGGGACCTTTCGCTTGTAAAGCAGGCGGCAGAACCACTGAGCTAAATCCCTGGGCCTTAAAAACTCTGAATTCTGAAGAAAACTACCCAAATAGCCAAGAGATTGGTTGATAAAATGCTATAAATATCAATTTATATTATAAATTTAATAGCTAAGAGGCACTAAGATATTCATGTTCTAAGTTCATATCATTCTTTCCTTTGGGTGTTAGAAGAGATGACAAACAAGGGCCAGCCTAAAAATACAGTACATGTTTAAATTAAAATTATTATTACAGTAAAGAACACATTGCCACTAATACCTATCAGAATAGCCCCTCCTTCAGTTGAAACATTATCCCATCATTCTTGCTACCTTCTGAAGCAGTTCTGGAAGTCTTCCTCATGAGTGTTTTATACTTATGATAAAAAATATGATGAATGCAGCCTCCATATGCCATCCAATGGAAAAAGCAGGCTCAGAAAAGTAGATGTGTCCTTATCCACTTTTTTGCCAGACCTAGCACTGTGCAACTTTTGCCTCTTCCCCAAAGTCAAAGTGACCATGAAAGGCAAACATTTTGAATCAATGAAGGACACTGAGGCCGCCATGACAGTGCAAGTGAAGATATCCATGGAAGAAGACTTCCAGACTGCTTCAGGAAGTGGCAAGGATGTATGTTCGAAGAATGTATGTAGTGAGAGAATTTTGAGGTGGCAATGTGTTTTTTACTGCAATAAATAAAAAAATTTAAACACATATCGTGTTTGATCACACCTTGTATGTTTTATATCAAGGGCTGTAACTGCCAAGGAAACCAAAATGAAAAGCACCTGTATCTGATAATAATAATTATGTCTACCCATCTGTTGGGGTCCACACCAATATAACTAACAATCATCAGAGAGTTTCTCAAGGAATGTTGCAAAGTCAGTCAATAACTGATACTTAAAGATAAATCTAGTTCACTATAGGGAGATACAGATCAAGAATTGTGGAATAACCAATGCCAATTTTATGCAGCAAATACCAACATATTCCTAATTTTCAATTTATTACTGTTTTTTTTGGGATCACAAGGGATTTTTGTCATATTTTGGCTCAGAAAGTTATGCTTGAAACAATTTATTTATGGCAAATGATTTGCTGGTATCTATCTTTTCTAAAAAGAAACAAAAATGTTTGAATTTGGGGCATTTGCCAGTTTACAAAGTTTCCTGGTATAACTTATTCCTTATTTTTATCTATAGCTACTTATAATTTATACCTAATTTCTCCTACAGTTAACTGAATGCCTTCAATTCCCTAAATATTTAACCATCTGTTCTTTAGAGACTGTATAAAAACACCACAAGCAGTTTTTTTACTAGTTGCAATTTAGGTCTACTAGTTGCAACGTAGGCTTCTATTGATCTTTTGGTTAGATTCAAGAAACATTAGTAAACTACCTCTTACAGAATTCTATTTTGCAGATAACGGTTTCCTGTTTATGCCGAACCTTGCTATTAGTTTGTAGTTAGTGATCTTTATAAAAACTCCCTTTTTGAAGTGTGGGACAGAAAGATGCTCAGCATCGTCTGTTAATTTCCCTCTTATTCACACAGTTAGGAAAAGTGTATGGATAGAAATAAGACACAGGGATAATTCGGTGGAAAAAAAAAACAAAACAACCAGGAAGAAGTCATGTGCTAGGCTATTAGTTAAAATTCATTCAAGAAATAGCATAGAAAAAACCAGAATGTAAACCATCGAGTGAAAAGACCTACTTTAATATTTCAAGGTGGATATTTAACACGCATGTAACAAGATGTTCCATTTGGCAAAGTGAGATTAATTGTGATTAACTCTGTCATTCATGTCCATCGTTTGAATTCAGGCCATTCCTGGAACCATCTTACACGAAGGGAATTCTTTTGAACCTAGTACTATCAATTTTTTATTCTTCACTTAAACTCTTGGCTTTCAATCTCAAAAACGGTATTTTTTATAAATGTTTCAAAGACAATAGAACCTGAAACCTAGGCACACCGTCCTAGATTTATTATTAGGAGCTATGTTCAGAGTAATTCTAGAAAGTATCCACATTTTGTCACTAAATTTCTAGAGAGGCAAAATGGAGGAGTGGTAAAACGGAGATTAGGACACAAGAGAGATTTGTCAAAAGGCAAAAGAATGTGGTATAAGGAGCCTTACCCTGGAATTAAAACAAGACTTGGCTGTCCCCTATAGTGCTGAAGGTGGTACAAGATCCTTGTAATTCTTTGCCATAAGTTTAGGATCTGGGGATGAACTGTAGTGGGGGTTGCTCTAGTAGGATTCTTTTTAAACTCGTTAGTGTCCAGGAGGCAATACTGTGAGGCTTCTCTAACAGCCTTTGGTGTTGTCTGTGACCATCTCCTTTAGAAATGAGCTTCTGGTATCATTTCTATGTGATTAGATTTCATCTCCAAAACTCAAGAGTCACAGAATTGTATCATTACAATTTGAACCGGGAACATCCTCAAGAGTAAGAGGTCAAGTTCATTTCTAATATCTATGGAAGCTTTCCCATCACTGTCAGTGACCTTGTGGCTGGAAAATTTGAATTTTGCTAAGAGCTATGAACATGGAATAGCTTTAATTAAAGAAAAGGATAGTCAATAATTGTTGGTTTGACATTTATAAGACAATAATTTGAGTAAAATTATATTCCATGAGAGAAATGGAAAGTGCTCTTATGCTATTACCAGAATCTGAGAATAAAATTAATTTAACTTTAAATAAATCTTCACAAAGTTATAACAAACATACCGGGCAGCTTCTGAATATCTCTCCAGACATCTAAACACTGTTGCTTGACGAAGATGGTTTCGGAAATAGGCTGGGTTTAAAACAATGCTCCTGTAAAAAAGATAAAAGAAATGCAAATGTTATTAGGCTTTTAAAAGACAATTACCAGAAGTGTGTAGGAATGACATCACATGAATTCAATTTTACATGCAGTTTTAAAGGATACTAATGAATGAAGCCCTTTATTTCTTCCTGTAATTGTCAGTTAAGGCAAATAAACAAGCATTATTAAAAAAACAAATTAAGTTTGCATCATAAAACCAACTTTGTAATACTGATATCTTTTATAGATCCAATAATGACAAAGAATTTAAATCCAACTTACATTAGACATAAATCATGGTGCTATTTTATTTGCTGGTGTTAATAAATCATGCAAAAACCTTAAGTTATGTATGGTTTGTTGTCTATTTTGAATGAAAGAGGAGATCGTTATCTGCTGAATTTCAGTTAAAAGACAGGAATGCAATTTGGTTGACATGTATATCTGAATGACCTAATTAGGTTGTATGTTTTCCCCCAGCTGGATTGAGCAGTGTTTTGAAACCCTGTATGATAAGATAAGGCAGCTGGTCTCGACCTTGCCCATTTGGGTGTGAGCCTGTCTTACTTTGGGCCTCCTCTCATAGGTTCGACTCAGATAAAATGATGTATCCATCTTTGTCTGCTCACTCTTCCCTTGTGTCCTTGAGTTCTGGAGTCTGTTCAAAGACAGATGAGGAGATGATCACTCTCCTGCTGTCTTCTTTCCCTAGGGTTAAACTGGTAGACGTCCTCTTGCTTGCTTCCTTGAGCGCCTATTCAGGTTGGGCGCCATTGTTGGCATTTGATGGGATGAGGTGAACTAGACAGATGCATTCCATACCCGTCATCAGATGGGAATCGGGATGTACCATTAATGAAAACGTTAATGTAGCTTCCACTATGGTTGTTGATATGGGATTCCAAAAGTTACCAAACCTACACGGGGTTACTAAATAACACTTTGTGCTCTTGTTTTTACAAGCTAATGAGAATCACTTGGAATTAGTTCATCACTGAAGTAAGTGGTTCTTAGCCTCGTTTATTTTTGAGAGGTGAATAGAGGTTTTTGAGAATCAGAAGAAAAATGTGAATCTCCTTCCAGAAAAATGCCCATAAATACAGTTGCCTAACTTTTGGGAACTCATATAACTATTTAAAGGCTATTCATGAAACTGTGGGTTAAAAAAAAACAAGAAACATGCAAACTAAAATAATTCTATTCCCAGAAGCACTTTTTATGAAAAGGCAAAAATGGAGCAAATTATCATTCTGTCCCATGAAAAACTGCAGAATAATAATGTGATGAAATGGATTGATTATATAATTTAGTTCATTTAAAACACAAATAAGCAGAAACCTAATGGGTTTAGATAACTTTCTAAAAGCACATATGCCTAGTGCGTTGAATAGTTATTTCAAATTTGTGTTACAAATTGGTCAGATATTTTCCATAAACATCTCTAGCTAGAGAATTATACATTGCCATTGTACTATACATTACTGTCTTACCTATGAGAACTTCTAAATTAGGAGGGAATAAATTAATGAAGTTTTGCTATATTCTGTGACTAACCATTTGTGCCCAAAACCCCAAACATTAATCCCCTTAGAAAGTAGGTCATTTTGCTTTGATGAATTCTGATTAAAACTTTGGAGTTTAAGAATTATCATGTAAAGCTGGGCATGGTAGTGCACACCTGTAATCCCAGCACTTGGGAGCCTGAGGCAAGAGGATCGCTGTGAGTTTGAGACCAGCCTGAGCTACATAGTGAGTTCCAGGTCAGTCTCAACTACATAGCGAGGTCTGTCTCAAAAAAAAACTAAAACAAACAAACAAACAAACAAACAAAACTGCCATGTAGCTTCCTTTGATATCAAGTAGATATAAAACTACCATTCATATATATTATTAGTTCAGAAAAGAGTATGTTTCCAAAACATTTTACATATTTTATCCCTGTAAAACCAAGCCAGAGTGGATAGGAGCAGAGTTCTGTTGAAGGCCTGGGTTTTGGAACAGAATTTGTTCTTTCATAATTTACTCTCTCCTCTTACTTTATAATCATTCATTCAATTAAGAAAATTTAGTAAGCATCTATAAAAGTTATGGAATAAAGTCCTTCATAAAGAGATACTTGTAGACTTGAACATCTCTTTGCCCATGACAAGTATTCTTCCTTTGAAAAACTAATTTCCAGACTAGATCTTTTTCCCAAAAAGATGGTTATGTCAGAGAAAAGGATGGAGAGCTGTGATCTAGAATAATGAGAGAAAGGTAAAAAGAAAAAAGAGAGAAAGAAAAAAAATGGAGGTGGGAGAGGAAGACTCAAAGTGGCTTTCGATGTAGGTCAATGAGGTTTTTTTGTGGGTAGTGAGAGTTGGTGAGGTGGACACAGTAGGGATTATTTCAATGTGATTTTTAAAAAAGACTTTAAAATTAGCTTGAAATTCTGAGCCTTCTGTGATGTTGGAGAAATATAAGCAGGCAATATGAGTCATACTGTAAGACTAGACTAAGTTCATTTTCCTTTTGGTGTGCTAGGAATTGAACTCAAGACCTGACACCTGATAAGTAAATGCTCTACTATTGAGCTATATCTCCAGATGCTATTACTTAATTTTTAGATAGTCTCATTAAGTTGCCCAGCCTGGGCTCAAACTTGTGATCCACCTTCTGAGTAGCTGGAATTATAGGTGTGAGAATACCATACCTGTTTTGGACTAGGTTATTTCAACCATCACCATACTCTGCCCTGTAACATGAGTCTTAGTATAATAAGAGAGGCCCAAAGAAGACTCAGACCAAGTCTCTACCTTGAAGGTGAAATTATAAGAGTATTTGGAAGTTTTGGAAGAGATGTTACATCTGGTAATCTATTATTTTTGACTCTTACAGTAATTGCAGTTTTCATTGTGTGTTTATACCATGCTCCTATTAGATATTTGGCAACCATGGTGCTAGTGAGGTTTGAAAAGCTTAGTTTTTACACTTTTATTAATTTATTGATGCTTTCAAAACTGACATATCCTTTTAAACATATATTTTATGTTGTGTGCAACTTGTAGAGGAAATGATGATTCCCCTTTTACAAAGTTCTTAATCGTTTATCATTCAATGCTATTTGGAGGAGTTGCAGGAGGCAGTCTGTGATCAAAATGGACAATCTCCCTGGGCTACGGGGGGAAAAAAAAACTGTAATTGTAATCAGAGAGAGGTTGCTGTGCTGATTAGTTTGATTTTATCACAGAGGAAATAACTCTGATTTAGCTATGCTGATAGGGCTGTTGGTAAAAAATGAGAACCATGTTAGACAGAGTGGCTAAATCATAGGAGTGATAGAATATAGGAGAATAAAGTTAGTGTCAGTAACAGGTAACACTGCTCACTTGGTTGATTAACTCATTATAAGACAATGGGATCATGTACAAAAATAAACATTATGACATAAAAATTTACTAAATCAATTTATGTCAGAGCCATTCTACATAATTTTTGGGAAAAATAATTTCCACAATTAAATTATTATTAGGCCGTGTCTTGCCTACTGGCCAGCTATAACATGCCAAAACATAACTCCATTTTTGCCTCTGGCCACATGAGACCTCAATGGTCCCATGATACCATGACACTCAAGGACAAGATTACATCAGCTGAAGACATCCTGGTTCCTTGAGAACTGAATTGCAAGAGAAAGGCCATTCACTTGGAAGGAACAAATTCCTTATCACCTTAACTCATCCTCCCTACTCATCCTAAAAATGTCTTTGCTCATTTTAACATCTTAATCAGCATGAACTTCTCATGGACCTAAGATCCTCATTAACATAAGATCCTCACAGTCATAGGATTATGGATAAGCTCCAGCCATCTGGTAATTTCTCTGACTATAAGATCCTTGTCAATTTAGGGTTATTGCTGCCCTTTGAGTCATCTGTTACTTCCTATTAGCCCAATAAATAGTGGCAAACTCAGGGTACCTTCATCTTTGCTGCTCATAGCAGCATTGATCATTCCCAGAACCTAGTTTCTTCTCTAAATCTTGTTTCCTGTCTTTATTCTTTATTTTGGCTGGTGCTGTTGTGACTCACAGGAGACCAGGCCCCACTGCAGAGGTTCTGGTAATATCACTTTTCCTGGTTACCTACACGTTTATAACTGTTTTGTGTCTTATGCTTTATGTGATTTCTACTTGTGGATGCTTTAAATTTTATCTTTATATTATAGCTCACATACCTTTATATTTGTACATGCGTATTCTGCTAAGTTCTAAGTTTGTCAAACAAAATGTTCAAATGGGAAGTGAAACAGGGAGGAGGGAGAAAGGAAGAAAGGAACAAGAAAAAATGTGAAAATAGAAGGAAAAAATGGAGACAAAGCTTTTGTACATAGGAAGGGGGAAGGGGCTTGAGAGGGGAATGGAATAAAATAACATAAAACCTATTAAAAAAAAAACACACTGAGGTCAGGATGTAAATCTCTTTCAGTAGTTGTCCCAGATTTCCTTAGTCACTTGTCAAATAATCCACCCTTCTTTCAGTGAAAGAAGTTCATATACTAAGTTCATCGGCACACCTGAGTCTATGCCTGGACCTTATATTATTTCTTTTAATCTGTCTACTTCCATGGCTGAACATGTCTTAGTTATTATTATTTTAAAATCCATTGAAATTTCTAGAAAGAAAATAACTATCTAATGTCCTCTTTGTGAAATTTCAGTTAGCTAATATGGCAAATTTATTCCTCTGGATGAACTTTATAATCTTCATTTAAATTGTCAAAACATTATTTGATGGTTTTCGTTGGTATTAAACTAATGGTATTAGATTAAGTACAAAGAATAGACATTTTATACCCTTTTTTTCCCATCAGGAATGTGACATTTCTCTTCTTTGCTTAAATATTCTTTTTTGTTTCCTAGTAGTGTATTTTTCCTTCAACTTTTTAAATATAAAAGTTTTACTAATGTACTAGTTCTTACATTTGAAAATCATATATGAGAATAGAGTATAAATACATATACACAAGT